CGGCAAGCTGGTCAATCGAGATTCTACGTCCAGTGATGACTTACGGTTGCCATGTACAGCTGCTTTTGTAAATGAAATCGCCAAAAAGACGGATATCCAGTTTACTGAACGTCTTGTTCTTTTTTTATGATAAAGGTTTTTATTTTGTATTTCCCAATGAATGAATGAAAAACAAAACGATATTGTCGTATTTACTGACGTTTTACTATTTAATGCTATTAATAGCTTTATCAAAGTAGTGATATTAAATAAGAATTTACAAAATCTCAGTTTATACATAACAACTTAATCATCGTTCCTCAGCATGGGGTCATTTTTGCGGTGTTGTCGAATTGGCCAATTGGTAAAGATAATCAAACCAGGTGTAGATTGTTGGATTTGATAAGTGTATAAAACTATAGAAGCAGCGTGCGTTTGAAACTGCTTATCACATTCATGTTGATTTTATCATTTCATGGAGGAGGGAGGTATTGTAACCAGGTCAAATTCTGTTTTCGTGCATCATTCCTATTCAGACAATTTTGACTCTTTTGATATGAAGTGCTGCTGATATTAGACGTTCTTTGTGATATCTGAAATTTTTCTATATGATGATTTCAATATTGTCAGTATCAATTCTGTGGCCTGATTCCACCACAGCGTGTAGACGAACTATGGCTGATGATTTTTCAAGTTTTTCTAGTTCACTAACTGGATTTCGCGGTGGTCGAACAGATGTTTCGTCCCACTAGTTTGGGACTCATCGGCAGTAATCACCCAATCTGTGGTCAAAATTGAGACAAGTCAAATCCCTACGACAAACTGACTCGTGAAAATTAATCCAATGCTGGCTAGTGAGTGGCTACAGGACTATGATATTGGCTGGTGCCAGTCACGCTGAAATCATGAATTGATAGAGGTTAGAATTCAAAGGCTGATCATTGAGTTGGATATCAATGAGTGAATGAATGGTCAACGAGCTTGCGTGGTAACTGGGTGGTATCGGGTTCGAAAGCTGTTGAGTGCGTACTGCTGGTAGGTCCCTAAATAGGAAGAAACATCTGTCTAGTACCCCCCACTGGCTTTCAGTGGTTCTCTAATCGGTATCACTCTTCAAGTGTTGGTTTGCATGAATTTGATTTGATTGGTCACAGAATTTCATCATGAAGTGACATCAGCTAAAGGACCACTAGAAGACCTGTGGTTACTGGACAGATCTGTCTCGTCCCTCTAGTTTAGGACTCTTCAGCAGTACGCACCCACACTGTGGGGTTCGAACCCTTCTGCGAGCTTGCTTCGTAACTGTAATATCCTGGGTAGTTTATCTGAAACGTGTAATGTATTTGTGCAACACATTTTCGACATTCTGATCATATAGAAGACCAGACAGCATGAGTTATTACAATACAGGTCAAGGTCGACCGTGCATATATGGTGAATGCGCATCTGAACAACCGCCAAACCAACGCCTTTTTATACTGTGTATTAGTGGACAGGAACTATGATGATTTAGATACTGTTCCGTTCATGTGGACTTTCTGTAGACAGATTGTTTTATTGACCCACCTTGTCGGCGGGTTATGTGTACATCCAAAAATGACAAGCCATCATTATTCTCTTTTATATGTGTTAGCGGTGTGCTGTTCTTTTTTCACTGTGTTTGACTGGTATTTCCGCTTCGTCTATTTTACTGTTTTTTTGACTGTCGTTTCATTGCCTGTGTGTGTGTGTGTGTGTAAACTTTTGAAACATAAGTATAATTTATTTGATCTATTCCACAATGCCTAAACTTTTTACTGATATTATTTTTTCACCTCATTTATTATCTTTTTAATCAAGTATTGGTTTAAAGGGATTTGATTGGTTATAGGATTGGTCACTAGCTGATATCAGTTAGAGTACCATTGGGGAACCAAATGGAGTATTGGACAACGACTTCGTCCCTGTTTGACAATCTTCATCAGTACTCACCCACCACTGAAGTTTGGATCCAGGACGTTCCGGTTACAAGGCGAGTTCATAGACCATCAAGCCACTGGGACACCACCGAGTAGTCCGTGAATTGAAGCACGAATTTTGCAGAAGTTGGAATTCACTGGCTTTTGGGTCGTGTCCCAATGACTGAATGGTCTACGGGCTAGCTCACCTTGTAACTGGAAGGTCCTGGATTCAAACCCCAGTGGTGGGTGTCTACTGCTTACTAAAGAGTCCACAACTAGGCTGAGGAAACAGCTGTCCAGTATTCCCCTGATGGGTTTTACAGTTGTTCTCTAGCTGACATCAACGTACGATCAATTCTATTATATATTTTGGTTACTAAGTTGAATTGTGTTTCTCTCTTCATTTTCGCTCACCATATTTTATTTTTTGGTATTTTCTTTTACACATGTAAACAGCTTGAATTAGATATACTCCTGTCAAAAAGTCAATGTGAATGTTTAAATGAAGATGATTCACATTCACTGTCACAATTACTCAATTCACCAGATGATGAGAAGACGTATTTACTCTCTGATACAGATGAACAGGTTAGTTATTATAGAGGAATGAGTTTATATATCTCTTTATTATTATTATTATTCCCTTGGGTTCCTAGTGGAACATAGGGCTTCAACTGCACGTCTTCACTTGCTTCTGTCTTCTGCTGTACTTTCCACCTGCATCCATGTTATTCCATACTGTTTCAACTCCTCTCCACACGATCTCCTCCATGTCACCCTTGGACATCCCACTCGCCGCTTACCTTTCGGGTTCCACTCGAGCACTGGCCTGACGTGCGATGTCACCCAGCGGCCTCCTCAGCCAGTGAGTGTCCAATCCATTTCCACTTTCTCCTGCATATTTGTTGAGCGATAGGTTCTTGTTGGTGATTCTTTCCGGCGGCCATCTGATCTTCAGTGTAGAGCCAGCGAAGACAGTTGTTGATGGAGGTCTGCAACAGGCTGTTGGAAATATTCTTTGTGACCCGCCAAGTTTCTGATCCATCCGTATAGAAGAACTGACTGACTTGACGTTTGTATTGAAAATCCGAATTTTGTTGTTGATGCAGGCTGAGTGACGAAGATTTCCAGATTGGTTTCAGGTTGATGAATGTGTTTCTCGCCTTCCCGATTCTCGATTTGACAACAGAGGGGGAGTATAGTTCTGTTCAGGAGGTGTGCTATTTTTTAGAATTTTATTTAGTTATGTTCTTTGAACTACTTGGTTGATTTAATTGCGTAGCTTTCCTTGTCCCCCTTCTAGACAACATCAATTCAGTCCAGGTTTCAGCATGAAATGAATTTATTTGAATTCTTCATGCGTCGTCACTTAGTAGTCCCATGGACATAGACAAAATTTATCAATCGATAAGAAGAAAATCTCATACATAAAGAGTCAACCTTCAGGTCACGGAAACAATCAGGACCAATACAAGTAGCCTATAGGGTGTGAAAACACATAGAAACAACCAGTCACGGTCAAGGTCACCAGGAGAGATGACTTATAAATGACTTATAAATCTAAAAGCTCGCTTCAACAAATTGAAGTATGCACTGAAGATGTTGCCTGGTAGAGGGGGCAATGAAAGCCTCTCAAATAAACCACCCAGCTCAGAGAACACAACTACATCAAAATATTCTTTATATGTAAAAGAGGTGAGAGAACAGTACCTTGATGGAACACCGGCTTCGGTAAGCAAGGCAGAGGAAGATTTGTCTTTATATATAGTATACTGCATTCTGTTCGAGAAATAAGAATGCAACCAGTTAACAGCTCACGACTTCTCGGTCTTTGTCAGGGAAAGAGTATATAACAAAAGGCATCCTGGGCACAGAGTCAAAAGCAGATTTGTTGTCTTGGTAGGTACTTTGGACATATTTGGCTCCTTTGTCTAAACAGGAAACAATATTACGATGTAAGTCAACAGCAGCATCTAAACTGCTTCTGCCCTGTTTATATGCAAACTGTTTGGGATCACTACTGCTTTTCGAGGAAGGTTCAAGGTCGGGTAAAAGCAATTTCTCTGTTATTTTCAAAAAAGGAGAAGTAATTGCAATAGGTCTAAATTTAACCTTAATACGATTGTATGATTTAAGTATTGTGATAATTTTGATGTCTTTAGATGCTATGAATACAATATTATTGGAAAAAGAAGCATTGAAAATATTGAAAAATCCAGGTCTTCTAGAGATCTGGATTACGCGGCGGATGATTTATGTTCAATGTTACACAGACTTGAAGGTGAAAACTAACAAACTGCTTGAAAAAGCAGCTTGGGAAACCATAACTCCAGCTGGACATAGAGAAGACGGAGGTGATGAAGATAACCAGCGAACAGCAACAACAACCAGCAACCATCGCCATCAACGGGAGGGATTTGACAGAAGTTACTTCCTTCACTTATGTAAAAAACGTGGTTTCAACCACAATTGTAACGGATTAAGATGTCAAATCCAGTAACGTACACCTTCATCGATTTGAAAATCTTCTACGCTCACGATAAAGAAAAAGATTCGGATTTTCAACATCAATGTTAGTTAAGTCAGTCGATTCTTCTATGTAGCGTGTGCGTCACGAAAAGCGTCTGAAGACTTTTATCAGCAGCTGTCTCCCCCGCTGGCTCCATAGTGAAGATCAAATAGCGTGCCAGTTGACCAGAACGAATTAGCAACAGGAAACTCTGGTTGGGAACAAACCAACCAAGAGCCGATTGCTCAACAAATATGTAGGAGGAAATATGTGGATATGGGTCGGGCATACGTTTAAGAGGCCGTCGAATGACATCACGCGCCGGACCATCACTCGACTGGGAGACGACGAGTGGGTTGTTGGCGCGATGGTGACATGTAGGAGGTCGTTTGGGGAAGAGGACATGAGAGAGGACAGCAGAAAATAGAACAAAGTGGAGATGTAGTGCCCTATGTTCCACTTGGGACCCAAGGGAACAATAATAATATCATTATAGTTTTGTGTTCAGAATAGATCAAATAAAAATAAACTGATGGTATTTTTTAATGTCTATATTTCTGTCTTATTTACAGCTTATTATATATGTTACATTCTCTCAATTTGTTCGAGTGCAAGCAGTGCAGATCAACGGACCTAAAGGTACATGTTTTGTTAGTATTTATCGCTATTATTGTTGATATTACCGTTATTATTATTATCGTTAGAAAAGAATATCGAAATTTGACTAAGGCAGAATATGATAATATTTCCCCTCCACAAATAAAGGTTCAGACAGCCGCATTGACTGACTTACTGACTGATTGGTTTCAACATAGAACTTTGCACAGATGTTCACCAATCCAAGTTGCCACACTCCCTTCATGTAGCACACAAAGCAAGAAAAGAAATTAAAGAGAGATAATAAACAGAAGTGTGAGTGAGGAAAAAAGAATAGTGATACGGAGGTACAATAGAGTACTTTGATTGGATATGATAACTGACAAAGAGTGAATGCATCTCCACCGTCATTGAGAACGATTTTGAGCCAGTCATATTACTAATTGTCTCCAGCCCCTTCATTGGTACCCACCATCCCGAGGAACCCAACCAGGTAGGCAGACAGACTACACCTCCCTACATGACTGGCGCAAACTAACTGCTATGGATTTCATGGACTGATTGCATGTTTTGCTTTGGCCACCACTAGAGATCTTTTCAGACCTGGTCCATCCTATTTCAGCTAACATTCCCCATCTAGAAAGGTGATGGTTAGCTATGCGTTACACATATTCTCGTCTGCTACTAGAAACCGAACCTCAATACTACTCATTCTATTGTGCCACCTAACATGAGAGATAGAACGCAGACACCTTTGATCACATATACCTTAGCCTTTTCATGTCTTCCATTCTCAATGACCATTTCTCACAGCTAGTCATAAAGGAGAACGGAGCGAACTGCTGAGCAGTATAGACGTCCTTTAGTCGATAGCTGGGTATCATCTCTCGTAGATGGAGAGAGGAACAATTGGTAAGGTCACCACCTAAGTTGCCCTATCATATTCAGTAGGTGGAAATTTAGTCACCTCTCCTCTTTCGATACGATAATAATAATAAGAGGTTCAAATGTTCTGACCTCTTATCACAAGGGACTTGGGAGATATACCACCGTCTAATCTGGTTCCTACAGTTTGTGCTTTTTCTGACATTCGTGTCTTCTTCCTAAAGCATGGGCCAACTGCTTGTGTACTACACTATTCCAGATAAGTACTTCGAAAACGTTGACCCATCGAAGTGTTTAAAAAACCCCCTCGACGTGTCCATAGCATTTGAAATGCCGTAGCTATAACGCTATTACAATGTACAGTTGTTTTCAAATTGTGGCTTGCAATAATTTCTAAATCCTTTTATCCCTTAACATCAGGCAGTTTTGTATCCCCTTGGAATTACGCATTTCCACTTTTTTTTTATGGAATTAATCTGCAAGCTGCAGAGGCTGGAACGTTCAGTGAATTTATCTAGATCACCCTGTAAGACTGACCTGTCGTCATTAGTATTTAGAGTTTTCTAGATCTTAACGCCATCCGAAAGAATGAGTAATTAGATCGGAGATATAGGAATAGAACTTGGTAGAGTATAATTCCATTATGGAGAAAGATTTATTCTGATAAAGTCTCATAGCGTGTTATACAGTAATATTTACTGATGACTACATTTCAAGCACTATTTTATTGCTGCTCATAATCATATCAAGACATTACTCACACAACTTTGTGACTTCGTTTGTGTAGTTCTACCATTTCTCATCTGTTGATTTGATGATTGGTAGTAATATTTTCCATATCTTTGGTATTGGTGATGAGTCATTCCTGTTGCATGTGTTGGGTGTAGATTGGATGAACAAGGATTCACTAATCAACTTCTCTCTCCACCTACCTAGATTACTTTTTAGAATTTTAACCCTCTCCCACCCTATTGTATGGTTCTGTGATAATGCATACAGTGCAATTGCTGAATTTTTTCCTAAATTACTTATCTTCTCGGGTTCAAAGATTCTAACCTTAGCTAAATTCTTGTGTTCCGACAATCTGACTACCCCCACCCGACCTACTAGTTTGACCTATGCAGTTAACTTAACTCACAGTCATTGCAAGGTATTTTGTGAATTATATTGTTTTGTCTAATTGGGTCAACCTACATGGTCCTTCAGCCTACAAAGCTTGTCCCTGCCTAAGGGGGTTTGTAGGTTTGAATGCCACCCTAATTCCTGCCTTATTAGAAATCCTACGTAGGGTCTTAGATGTCCCCTCCTTATATGGTAAAACTGCTGCAATCAGGAAAATCATTGACGATAGTAGGCAGCCAGCTTGTCTTACTTCCGTCTTCACTTCGAAGGATTACGTAAGTTTCCCGTTGTGGATTACTTGACATGCAGCATTGTTGTATAGCTGTTGGATGAGATGTATAATTGTCGGCGGCACCCCGTAGTAGCGAAGTAGTTGCTAAATCATCTCTCGATCGACGCTGTCAAAGGCCTTTTCAAAGTCGATGAAGTTGAGATAGAGAGGTGACTGCCATTCTAAGCTTTGTTTCTCCTAAAGCCAGCCTGTTCCGGTCGAAGTTTTTCATCCAGGGAGGCATGTTTGATTCTCTCTAGGATGATGCGGCTTAGTATTTTGCTTGGGATGGATAGGAGCATAATTCCGCGCCAGTGCTTGCATTGACTTAAGTCTTCTTTCTTTGGCAGTTTGAATAAGTATCCTTTCTTCCAATCCTCGGGTACCTTGCCCTCTTTCCACACCTTCTCCAGTAGTGGCGTTATCAAGTCCGCTGTTGTCCCTGGGTCCATTTTCAATGCTTCTGCTGGGATTCCATCTGGTCCTGCTGCTTTTCCAGCTTTTAGCATCTTGATTGCCTTCAGGACTTCAGTTCTCGTCGGAGGGTTGGTATTCACTGGTAGCTCTGCCTCCGTTGTTGGTATTGTTGGGCGCGTTGAATGTGGTGGTCGATTTAGGAGTCTTTTGAAGTGTTCAGCCCAGTGTTACCTTTGCTCCACTTCTTTGGTGAGTGACTTTCCATTGTCATCCTTCATCGGCTTAATTTGTGTCAAACTTTTGCCCGATAGGTACCTAGTTGTTTGGTAGAGTGTTGCGAGATCTGCTTTGCCTACAGCTTGTTCTGCTTCACTTGCCATGGCTTCATAATACTTTCTTTTGTCTTCCCTGACACTCTTCTTTACTCTTTTGTTCAGTGTATTGTAGTTTGCATTCAAATCCTGTTTTTGTTGCTCGTCGGTGCACTGGAGAATCTTTTGTTTCACCATCCCCCTCTCTTCTATCAGTCTCCAAGTGTCCGTAGTGAGCCACTGTTTTTCCTGTCTCTTCTTTCTGCCTAGAACTTCCATGTAGGTTTGACTCCACACTGTTTTCAAGTTGTTCCAGTGCTTTTCGACGCTAACCTCTTCGCTAGTGTTGATTTGTGTCTCGCCTTTGTCCTTCTTGCTTGCAGTGAAGATGTCCTTTGTATCCTGGTCCTTTAGTTTTTGAGTGTTGAACTTGACTTGTGGTCTATCTGCAGCTCCTGTTTCTCTGAAAGCTTTTAATTTGATTTGGATTGTCCTTTGTACGAGATAGTGGTCTGAGCCAACGTCTGCTCGTCTTCTTACTTTTGTGTCGAGTAGGTTGCACCTCCACTTCCTTGAGATTGAGATGAAGTCAATTTGGTTTTTGGTGTATTGGTTATCATTATTACTTTCACCATTATTTTTATTTTGGTTTCGACCTTTTCTAATCTTCCTAATGAATTTTATGGGATAATTATTTGATACCAACACCTCTTCTTCTATCTGTTTTATTTCATCATTTAAGTCTTTTTTGCACTACTTAGTGTTGTTATTGCACAGTTTTTTAGACACTTAACTAAGCCTGCCTTGACAGATAATGATGGATGAGATGAATTAAATTCTAGACATCTGTTAGCAGAATGCGTTGGCTTTTTATAAACGCTAGTATGTACAGTTTACCTTTTTCCATTCGTTCTATTTTACAATCCAGTATCATAGCTAATTTCCCTTGAAGAAACTGTGTATAATATATGCTGAAGCTGTGATCAAATTATCCTAGTAGATACAATGTATTTCACACTAGTTGAAAGTAGCGTGCATGTGTGTCTAATCTAACCCAACACACATATCTTATATTTTCAAGTGTTGGCCTGCCTGTAGGCATTGGTTTCAAGGTTGATCGTGAATTGCCTTCACCCACTGGGGTTCGAACCCGGAACCTTCCAGTTATAAAGTAAACCCGTAGACGATTCAGGTACTGAGATCCTATCCAAAGTGGTCCACAAATTCCAACTTCTGCCAATTCACGACACATATATGGCGTCATTACCAGCTAATCTGATAGGCGAGTAACTGATCTCTTACCTGACTTGGTAGATGCCGCCGATTATGACTTCTCACTAGAACTCCAAGTAACTTTTTGTTTACAGCCAATTACTGGTGAACATCAGAGTTATCACGAAGTGTTGGTTCGCAGGGATTTGGCAGGTGGTTACAGGTTTGATGATTGTAATATGCTTGTTAAAACGTAAGCAACATTAACATTCAGAACTGATGGTATCCAATTGACATCGGCTAAAAAAATGTGCCACTGAAATATCAGAAGAAGTAACCGAATTCTCATTTCACTCTTGTGTTGATGTCTCTCTACCTCTCTGGATTCAACATAGAACTTGGCACCGAAGTGCAGCAGTTCGTGTTGTCACATTTCAAATAGCACACAAAGGTAGACAAGAAGATGAGTGAAGAGAATCAATAGAGTTTTGGCAAGTATAAGAGTGAAACAGAATGAGTAATGGTAGAAAGGAATATCAATAAAGATTACAGAGACTGAATACATCTGCGTAAGCCATTGACAACGATTTTGAGACATGTCACCTATTGTCTCCAGCCATTGATTGATTCTTAGAGTCCCGAGGGCGGGCCCCAACCCGGAAGTCTGCATCTCCCCACCTGACTCAGTTTAACTGTCAAGGACTTCATGGATTGATGAGGCCATGTTTTTGTTTGACCACCACTTACTCTTTTCCAACCTGCACCTATATCAGCTAGTAATGCCCGTCCGTTGGGGGAGGCGATGTTTAGGCATGCGCAGCACGTGACCTAGCCATCTCAATCCATGTAACTTTATAGCCTCGTCTATTGATTTCCCCTCCTTACCTAGCACTCGACCGATGCCTAACCTCAATATTGCTCACCGTATTATACCACTTCACGGGGGATATAGAACGCAGACACCTATGATAAAAAACAGCTAATCTTTTCATGTCTTCCGCTCTCAATGGCCAGGTCTCACAGTCATAAAGGAGGACGGAGCGGACTGCTGAGCAGTACACACGCCTGTGTTGATGTTGGTTTTCTCAGCAGGTTATCACAATGTCCGCCTTAATACTTTCAGGCATAATAACGAGTATATATTCTAGGTGTTAACCACTGTAATTTTCTTATGTAAAATTTATAATGAAATTCGAAGGGATTTGATTTGTTTCTAGTTTGACTAAGGATTGAAATCAATTAGAGAGAGAGAGAACAATTAAAAACCATCAGGGAGTACTGATGAACAGTTGTTTCGTCCTAGTTTGGGACTTATCAGTACGCAGTACGCATCCATCTTCGCGTTTCGAACCCAGGTGCTTCTGGTTATAGGGCAAGACAAGCTCTTAGACCGTTCTCAACCACTCAGGTCCTACTCAATGACCAAGCTATTCATGATTTTTTAGCGCGACTGGCACCAGCCAGCCGGATTGAGCCAACTAATTGGCAGCAACTTCTCACAAGAACTCCTCCAGGCAACTGACTTCGTCCTGTAGACAGGTTAATTTGTAGAGATTTAATTTGTTTCAAGTTTGGCCACCACGGATTGATTTCAGTTTTTCTGTTTCTTTCCTGTTTTGAAATTTATTTTAGAAAATGCTCCAAAATTAGTAAAACTTTTTATCAATCAAATATCAACACCAGATTTTGATAGTTGTGAAGCTGGTGAAGCTGTACAAACATTAGAGTAGGTCTATTTTGTTGTTACTGTTTTTTTTAAAAATTCTTTTGCTCAATACAATTTTATTCATTTAATTTCCTTTAGAAATACGAAACATTTGGTAGAGTTTTTATGGTGGTTAAACATACTACTCATTGATTGATATAAGTAGTTGAAGACTGTATCACCACTTTTTTCCAGTCTTTTGATTTTCGCGTGGGTGATGTAGGCTTCCAAACTTGAGCTTTGAAGGTTCAATAGCTGTGATGTAGGTTTGCTAGTGTAACACTCAACCTCCTCTATTTACCGAACTTACTATTGGCTAAACGAGTTGGTTGAGGAGTGTGGCGGCATGGAATCGAACACCAGACTACGTGACTGCCAAGTTCCCCCCCTCTCTCTCTCCCGCTCATCTAGTTCACAGAGCACAACTACATGAATACTAATAAGATATGTATCTGAGGTGTGTGTGTAAGCTTGACAGTATTGACAGTATTCCTGAAACTTTTTCAACGATGATTTGATGGCTTTGTTTCATTCAAAGTGGGACATGAGAAAGGTGAATGTATATAAGCATGATAATAGAGAACATGAAACAGCAATTATTTGCTTTATTCCAAAACAGCAACTATGTGGAATCCTCAGCATTTGGGGTACATCAAACAAAACATTACACGGTATAGGTAATCAATTTGATTGGACACTAGTAACTAGTGTTATGCGTTTAGTCCTTTCTTTGGTGCAGACTGAATTCTATCAGTCAGGTTTGCAATGTCGCCACCATTCTAGGCAGCTCGGCATTACGGTGCACATTGATTTGATGATATTAGATGGTTGGAGGCAATCTGCAGGAAGCCTTGGACCTAGGTTTTGTGCTAGTTGGCACTCACCAGTCAGCAAGTCGTATTCGCAACCTTGAAGGAACTCATGTCTCCTCTGAGATTCGAACCCGCGTCACCCAGTGAGTGCTGCAGTCAGAGACCTTACCACTAAGCTATTCGGGCTCGCGATTAATCTAATATCATCAAATCAATGTGCACCGTAATGCTGAGCTCTACCTAGAATGGTGGCCACATTGCAAAACCTGACTGATAGAATTCAGTCTGCACCAAACAAAGGACTAGACACGTCACACTAGTTACTAGTGTCAAATCAAAATATACCCACTACAGTCATACAGGAGGTCAATCGCGAGCCCGAATAGCTCAGTGGTAACGTCTCTAACTACAGGCAGCAATAGGTGACGCGGATTCGAATGTCCTTAGAAGGGACATGAGTTCCTTCATGGTTGCAGATACGCCTTACTGACTGGTGAGTGCCAACTAGCACGAAACCTAGGTCAAGCACGGTTTCCTGCCGATTGCCTTCAACCATCTAAGGTGGGTAACCAAAATTGATAAAAGCAGCTTTTTTGGTATTAGGAGTGACAATAAATTTGAAAATGTACTAAAGCATAAAATATTTAAAGTAGAATCATCATAAATTAAATATAGGAGAAGACCAGAGAACCATTTATTTTGTGAATAACATATTAAGCTGTAAGTTTCTTGCTTAACACTCTCTCTGTCACATAGAACGTGGGAGGGGCAAATATGGTATTGTTGAGTTTTTGTAATCAGTTGTGTGCGAGAGAGCGTATAATCTTTTATAATGACCTCTAGTCCTACCTGATAAGATTCAACGGGAAGGAGAGAGTTGTGAATAGAGAGGGTGTTATCGACAGTCAGACAGTATGCATTTAGCCCCGCCGTTTCTCACAAGAGTTCAGGTGTGTACTGACTATAGCAGTAACGAGCAGGCTGACTTAATGGTATACTGCTCATCCTACTGATGACAACCTGATTGTGGTAGACTGGGTAATCTGGCAGACAGAGGGCAGCGAGGAGACAGGCATAAAATGCACCCACACGAAAAACTTAGAGGCTCTGGACTTCGCCAATGTGATATATCTGTGATTTCCCATAAACTGGAAGATATGCAAGTGAAAAGCAACAAGTTGGCGATAGAAGTTAGGACCTCAGGTGAACAAATGAAAGACAAAGGTAAGTGATGAAGATTCCTGGCCAACAGCAACAACAACAAAAAATCAGCACAAATGGGAGAAATCTGAGAGAAGCAACCTCCTTTACCTACCCACCTACCTGGGAAGCATCGTTTCAACTGCTGGCGGATGGAACTGACAAGGATATCAAAGCGAGGATCGGGAAAGCAAAAAAAGCTTTCATTACTATCTGATAAGTCTGTGTGGAGGTCAACAGCACTCAGCATAAAACATACGATCTGGATTTTCAACTCCAATGTGAAGTCACTGCTACTCACTATGCGGAACAGAGACTTGGCGCCGTGTCACGAAGGCCACTTCGAACAAACTACCTATCTTCATCAACAGCTGTCTTCGTTCAATACTTCACTCGAGATCAGATGACCGGCCAGGAAACATCAGCAACAGGGATCTCTGGGAACGAACTAACCCAGCAAGAACCAATTGTGCAAAAATATGCTGTTATTTTTTAATTTTTCATTTAAACACAGAAAAAACTTGGTACAATACGGCACCAAGAAAGATGCACCACACAATAATAATAAAACAACATAGATGAAAAGTAAAAATATAAGTAGAAAACGGATAAAGAACTTCATTTGGAAGGGAAACAGTCATGTTTAACAAGTCCAAACAGTATTCGTTAACTATCATCAGAAAGGGAAGAAAGAAGAAAATTGCAACACGTTCGCCATTGATTACGATTCTTGGCCATATCCGATAACGTTTCGAGCCATCGATTTGAGCTATCTCTCAGACCCCAACCAGGGAGTCGTGATGCACCAGCCGATGCTTATCTAGCACAAAAATCCCTCATCCCACGACGCCACGTCATGGACTGATCACCCCTCCACCTTTTCCATCCCGCCCCAGGGCTAGCGAACAGAGACCTGTACGGAAGCCTCTGGGATGACATTCGCACCACATGTCCAAGCCACCGGAGCCGGTGTTTCCACATGACAACACTCAATGAATGGTGATCTCCACTGTGTTCAAACACACGCCGCCGAACCTCAGAATTACTCACGCGATGATGCCATCGAACGCAATCAATCCTGCGGAGACGGCGATGATCGAACACGCAGAGTCGCCTCACATCCTCACCTCGGAGAGGCCAGGTTTCACAGGCGTAGAGCAAGACAGCCCGCACCGAAGCATTGTATACCCGACCTTTGACAGCTAGGCTAACGTCGCGACAGCTCCAGAGGTGGCTCAAGTTTATGTATGCCACCCTAGCCTTCATGATACGGTTGGAAATCTCATCCGTCACCCCTCCTCCAGCGCTTACACAACTACCCAGATACACAAACTTATGAACAACTTCAAGCGGGAAGATTTGGAGTTAGATTGGTGGCCATACTCTGAGAAAACCATCGAGTGACATCACTCAAGTGGAACCCGAATGGGAAGCGGTGAGTTGGTCGTCAGTGTGAGGGTGACATGAAGGAGGTCATGTGAAGATGAGGGGAAAGCATGTGGGCAGTTTTGGAGCCAGATGAAAATGTTGCCAGAGTACCGAATGCAATAGAGACGTGCGGCTGAATCCCTATGTTCCTCTAGGAATTAAAAGAAACAATAATAATAACACCCTTCAAAATGTGAAATAGTCCTTTTTGAGTAGTCCAGAACAGACTAAGGAGGAAGCGGTTAAGTAAAATAGCTAAGTTGCATGAGTTAACAAGTTGTAAAAGTAGTGGTTGAGTGGTTCCCGATTGTCTTAACAAATCGACAAGATATGGGATAGAACTATTTCTTGTGTGTGAACAAGTTTGTGTAGATCATGTTTATGCGTGAAGGTGAGTTTAACTGTCTGACATTTGTAAGGATTTAACTTAAGTCGATTTAGCTTAGACCACCACTGGCTTATGTCGGACAACAAAGTTGTAGTTGCCATTATCGTATATATATGAAATTAACTGATTATTTATTGATTAATTGTGGAACTACACTTTTGTTTCTTCTTCTTCTTGTGTTTTTAATCCTTCAAGGTTAACAGAGGATGATATTAAAGAGGGTGGAGTAACTCAATTGAATTTTGTAAAGTTCCAAAATGTCAACACTATAACAGTGAGTTTTCATTGGTTAAATTGTCAATCAATAAATCTTCTTTATTTTATTGATTGATAGTAGCTTACAGTAGAGTGTAGAACGTGTAGTTCCTCGCATTGGGGACTCATCAGCTCAATGTACTTGTATCCTCTCCCCTGCGTTGTTACCGTGGAAGATGGTAGACTCGGTAACGAACCTTTATTGAGGAAAAAAATCACAACATAGTTATACATTCTTAGTTACACTAAAGTCAGAAGAGAATAAATTGTTCTGATTGGCTAGCGATTTGCTCAAGGTTAAACAAGTTATCCAATGAGATTGTTTCATGCCCACAATTTAAACTAAATTGAAATTTAAGGAATAATCACTTCTATCTTTTTCGATAATTTCCTATGTTTATGTACATAGAATATTCTGGAATATTCGTCATTAACAATATTGGTGTTTTTTAAATAATATCGATTTTTTAAGTAAGCTCATTGGACCTTCTGTCCACGAAAGATGCATAAATCGTAATGAGCATTAAAGTTTAATAGTAAATAGAATATCGAATAAAATTGAAGAAATTTCTACAAAAACTTGAGGATCATAAGAACCTAGATGAGTAAGGTAAAGATAGTGTCTGGATCAACCAACTTCTTTTGGATACATAAGTAAGACTTCTTAATGTGGATCCCAACGGCCTCAGCAATATGTAGTAGACGAACTCTTAAGGAGAAATTAAGATTTGTTGGTATGCGGTAGATGACTTTGAAAGTCGCCTCGTTAACATGAATCTAGTGTTCTGTATCCACAAGATGAGATGGAATAGAGCAGCTACGAATGGATTTTGTTTGTCCTTGACTTAGCCTCTGCTGCTGCTGGATTCAACATAGAACTTGGCACCGAAGTGCAGCAGTTCGAGTTGCCACGTTCCAAATAGCACACAAAGATAGACAGGAAAATGAGCGAAGAGAATCAGTAGAATTTAGGTAAGTATAAGAGTGAAAGAGAATGAGTAATGGTAGAAAGGAATATGAAGGTTAAAGAGACTGAATACATCTGCGTAAGCCATTGACAACGACTTTGAGCCATGTCACCTATTGTCTCCAGCCATTGATTGATTCTTAGAGTCCCGAGGGCCACAACCCGGAAGTCTGCATCTCCCTACCTGACTCAGTTTAACTGTCAGGGATTTCATGGATTGATGAGGCCGTGTTTTTGTTTGGCCACCACTTACTCTTTTCCAACCTGCACCTATATCAGCTAGTAATACCCGTCCGTCGGGGTAGGGGATGGTTAGGCATGCACAGCACGTGACCTAGCCATCTCAATCTATGTAACTTCATAGCCTCTTCGATTGATTTTCCCTCTTTGCCCAACACTCTACGCCTAACGTCAACATTACTTACCTTATTATACCACCTAACGCGAGAAAGAGATCGTAAACATCTGTGGTCAAAAACAGACAATCTCTTCATGTCTTCCGCTCTCAATGGCCACGTCTCACCGCCATAGAGAAGGACGGAGCGAACTGATGAGCAGTATACACGTCCCTTGATTGATAGTCGGATGTCACGCCTACGCCAGAGACGGTGTAAGTTAGCGAAAGCAGCCCGAGCTTTCTGGATCCGTGCTGTGATTTCGTCACCAATCAATCCGTTGGTGCTGATACAACTTCCCAAATAGGTGAAGTGGTCAACATGTTCTATCACTTCACTCCCTATCACTAAGCTAGGGGTAGACGTAGTCCAGTCCTGTAGCAGCATCTTACATTTCACAGGGTGATGCTCGGAAATCTGACAAGAAACACGCCTAATTGTAAGGCCTATGTCACTGGTACGCGCTACAGGAGCCGCACAGCCTTATGCCCAACATTTCGTCTTTTCTAGACATATTGTCAGCTAGTAAACTAAACAATGCTTAAAAATGCATCGGCTGGGGATCGAACCCTGACCATGTACCTGTCTCCGCATGCTTATATATACATAACTTGCAGTATCATTCTGTTGTCAAGACAGAAGACAAGGGCCAAGCAACAAATTGTTTATTGAGAAAGTCAACAGATATTTATATATTTTTATGTAGATTATTATTCGTTATTACTAGCAGAGAAACAGCGTCTTTTGATTGGTTGTTTTCTCACTGGAAGTTAATCTGTCATCTCTTTGTGGCCGTTTCTTTGATGGTCATACCATATATATATATATATATATATATATGCGAATCGTACCCGCCCACGCAAAGTCTTTGTTCTTGTTTTTCTCATCAACCAGATTCGAGAAGTAAACATTGACGTAAATTGCTGTCTACCAATTTTGGCTAGCAGACACAGCTCTCACCACATGTTACTAAAATAGTATGTGCCGTTGTGGTGTTTGGAAACACGAACTGATGCTTTTTTTAGGTATTATCGCGAAGTGACTGTAGTTTGAGACCCCCATCTGTGACCTGAAGGCCTTGAGTTCGACTCTTGGTGAGGAGGGGGTCATGGATACGTACTGATGAAGAGTCCCAAACGAAGACGAAACAGATATCCAGTACACTTTGGTTTCTCAATAGGTTGAAATAAATCAAATCCCTGTAGACCACCACCCACACTTGTAGATTAATGCATTTTCATTCAAGGGGTTTACACTGATTTTTCATTATGCGTGTGTGTATCTGTACAATAAATGATCCAAGAATGTAATAGGTCATAGGAGTTAATGCGTAATTTGAATGCGTAATTTGTACTTCTTTTTATCTGATTAGGATGAAGGATTCGTTATTTATAATAACGATTTATTTTTTTTATTTTTATTTATTTATTTTATTAATCGTTATATATAGTGTATCGGTGGCACAGCGGTTAGGACGCTCACCGACCATGCACATGGTCCGAGGTTCGATCCCCGGCCGACGCACTCCTTTACCTTCCTAAGCCAGAGATAAAGCTGATAAGGAGGGGAGGTTGGGCATGAGGCCAGCAGCAACCCCGTCCTGTAAAAATAATCACCATTGCTACAGAAACTTCAAGTGAGACGCTTGAAGCCCTGTGTTCCACTGAGAACGTGAAGGAATAAGAAAAAATCGTTATTTACCATTTAGAATTTGCATTTTAGTGCATCTGTCTTCGTCTGAATAGTATGTCACAACAGAAATATCCTGTAAAAGATATTGGCTCAAATTCTATCAGTTTTCGTACATCAGTACTGATGATATGTTCCCCTGTCTACATTGATCTTCTTAGATTGTAAGACAGTGAAGGAAAGTGTGTGCGATTCGTTGCTTCACTGAGCCTTAGAGTCACACTACGTCGTCCCAATAGGCTATAAAACTAGTTTTAATGAATTATCTCATCTCTTGGGTACCAAATGAACATTGTCAAAAGTCCTTCTACTTAGCGGATACTCTACACATAGCAGAGGAGAATGTTGCGGTTCTCTTGAGGCAACTGGAACTCTCTGTGGAAAAAAGGGACAAGTCAAGTCACTGTCAGTAACCTCTGGCCTTCTGTGGGACCTACATGTCCTGTATTATGTCTCTTAATTTATCTAATATTCAGTTTTAGTGTCGTATTTTTGTATATTATGACGATAATTGTGTTATTCAAGGATTGGTTTTTAGGAATTTGACTGATTGGTTCCAGGATTTTATCATAAACTGACATCGGTTAGACAACCATTGGAAAATTTAGGAGTACTGGAAAGCTATTTCGTCAGCCTAATCTGGGACTCTTTGACAGTACGCACCCATCGGGGCTTCTTTTATCATTATGGACATATATAACTGTAGGAGCTGATGAAGAAGTTATGGGAAAAAATATTCTTGGTTCACTAATCACACTAAATCGTTGTAACATCCACTCCTTTTCTTAAGGCTGTAGACGGCAAACATAAAGAATAGCAACGACAAAGTGGGAACGCACCAATGAAACTTGAACGCATATCATTCATTGCATTATCACAGAACCTACTGTGTATTTCACATCAACAAACCCGTTTGTTTACCGGGAAAAATTAACATAATAATAATGATAAGAATATTGAAACGCATTAAAGACGATATTTTACCCTGGCAAGTAACTAAAATATAGTTCACAGTCACGTTGAAGGGTATCACTTGTTATTAGATGGTTGCAGGTAGTCGGCAGGAAGCCTTCCATCTTGTCGGCATTCGTCAGTCAGTAAGGCGTATCTACAATCTTGAAGGAACTCATGTCCCTCCTGAAATTTCGAACACGTGTCACCAAGTTCTGCAATCAGAGACGTTTGGATCTCAGGAGGGACGGGAGTCCCTTTCGGGTTCCACCGAGGGGCCTCCTCAGCGAGTGTCTCATCCATCTCCACTTTCTCCTGCATATTTGTTGAGCGATTGGTTCTTGTTTTGTTTGTTCCCATAGTTTCTTGTTGGTGATTCTTTCCAGTGGCCATCTGATCTTCAGTATAGAGCGAAGACAGTTGTTGATAAAGGTGTGCAACAGGCTGTTGGAAATATTCCTTGTGACCCGCTGGCCATGTTTCTGATCCGTATAGAAGAACTGACTGACTTGACGTTTGTATTGAAAATCCGAATTTTGTTGTTGATGGTGAGTGACGAAGATTTCCAGATTGGTTTCAGGTTGATGAATTTGTGTATCGCCTTCCCGATTCTCGATTTGACATCCTCGTCCGTTCCTCCTGTAGTTGAGACAATGCTCCCTAGATAAGTGAATGAGGTAACCTCTTTCAAATCGCTCCCGTTGATGGTGATTGGCGGTGGATGTTGCTGCTACTGTTGATGTTGTTGGTTTGTTATTTTCATAACCTCCGTCTTGTCTATGTTCATCTGGAGTCCTGTCTTCTCTGGCTGCTTCTTCGACCAGTTTGTCAGTTTTCGTTTGTAAGTCTTCGATTTTGTGTGACATCAGACATAAATCATCCGCGAAATCCTTCTAGGTTCTTCACGTCGGTCCAGGCTATCCTTGTTTTTCTCGTTTCCCACTGTCTGACGCATAATCCAGTCCACCACAATTAGGAATATCATTGGTGATAATAAGCACCCTTGTCTGACTCTTGTGTTTACTCCAGAAGCCTCGCTGAGTTTTCCGTTGTGGACCACTTGACACCTCGCCTGGATTACTAGCTGGCTAGTTTTTTAGCCGGTCCCAAGCCCGGATAAAAAGGGAGGGTGGGGGCGTGGGAATAATAAAAAACTCTAATCCTTACCTTAACCTTAAAGCTAACGTGCTATCAACTGATTGATTGTTCAAACGGTACTTATAAAGGAGTTCAGAATGAAATTTACACGTCATTTCGTACACAGTGTTCATAGTATCTGTGTAATAACCACAGGTTTTCTGTGATTATCCAGCGAATGGTATGCGTCTAAGGTCCATTGGTGTGTGCGTTCACACTCCAAGGTCACCATTCTTTACTTTGTTTGTTCAGTGCATGTATGGTATTTATGATGACTACTCACTCACTTTGTTTGTTTCTTCTATTGTCTATCCTCTTCCTTTCTTTTTTTTGTAACAATTTTTATTACAGCTTTTTGTGAAAAACAATCAATCGTCAACAGATCAAACACGAATTGATAAGCTGAGATTCTTTGGTTATCCAGTGAACACTATAAATATGAATGAATTTAAAAGGGTAAGTTTTTGGTATGCCTATAGATGCCTGTAGAAATAAGCTGAAGGTGGAAGCCGTTAATGGCAAAGTTAAACTTTCGACACCAGTAACAACCAATCAGCAAACGACCTTGAACGGACCAATCACGTGAAAGAGGCGTTTATGATAAGTGGAAACGTATATTTATAGGAAAATGCATAAAAAAAAGGATAAAACGGATACAATGGGTATCTTTCCCGAACATGGGACAGAAACATCTCCCAATTGAGCATGGGACTGTCAATAGAGAAGTCACACCACATTCATCTAAATGACTATAAATGAGATCCATTTATAGCCCGTATCCTATTTTTCAATCGACCCCAAAATCCTTAAGTGAAATTTGTATGAGTCCCTATAACCACCGAAATCACTGGAGTGGTTCACTCTGTGATGAATGTATCCGAGGGATGACAATGAATTGTAACCTTTCCACTCGTCGGTATGTACAATTGATCCCCGTTTCACAAGTCGCGTTATAATAGGTATCAGAGTAGTCGCCTTCCTGTCTGCTATTCTTTCAACAAATCCTTTTCGGAGGGACGTGTCGTATAAACAAACCAATGAGCCAAATGTTGTTCGCTCTCTGACGACCACGGTTATATTTCTTCTTGACCAACACTGCCTCATCCACATGCACTACTACGTCGTCCCCGCCTAACAACAAAGTAATTCTCTCCATTTTCCATGAGGCGATGTCTCTGCAGTGCTAGTACTACTGAACTGTTGAGACGAGACTGTTCTCTGTCTCGGCTGTTTCAATACTCAATAGTTGCAGATATACAAAATCTGGGTTACGGGGAGATGCGACCTAGCAAAAAAGGTTCCTACGAAATATTAAAATTAGCAGCTTACCCTCTCTAATACTAACTCGCTTCTAGCATATTCCACAACGATGGACAAATTCATCAGTTGACCTAGTATAGCTTTTTAGAGTCATAACACCACCACACGAACAACTTGTCCCCTTTCGAAGCAAGTCCAGGCAATGCTGAAAGACACTATCCTCCTCGAATTGCAAACGTAACCTTGTAAGGGCACGCATTGAAATGAATCAGGCGCTATACAACATTGAACTACGTTCATGAATCTCATTGGATAATTCGACGTTGTTCGCTGATTGGTATTTACTGGTGTCTAAAGTTTAACTTGGCCCCGTTGATTTTTATAAAAAAAATGACTAACTGGTTCCAACATAGAACTTTGCACAGAAGTGCATCAGTTCGACTTGCCACTCTCCCACTATGTAGCACACAAAACAAAAGAGAGTAAAGAGAGATAATAAACAGAAGTGTGAGTGAGAGAAAAAGAATAGTAGTAGTATGGAAGAACAATAGAGTATTTTTACTGAATATGACAAATCACAAAGAGTGAATGAATGTGCGCCAGCCATTGAGAACGATTTTGAGCCAGTCATATCACCAACTGTCTCCATCCTTCATTGGTTCTCACCATCCTGGGGGGCCTCAACTACACTAGCGGGTCTATGCGTCCCTTAAACCAACTGTTATGGATGTCGTTGGCTTATGTGATGTTTTGGTTTGACCGCTACTAAACCCTTTCCGACCTAATCGATCCTATGTCAGATAAATTTGCCCGTCTGGGAATGCGATGGCTAGGCATGAGTTGCATATGCCCCAGCCATTTCAGTCGATGTAACTTCACAGCCTTATCGATTCATTTTCCATCCTTTACCTAGCACTCGACCGATGCCTTAGCAACTCAATATTTTGTCTTGGTATTATACTACTTAACACAGGAGACAGAATGCAGGCAGCTAGCCTTTTCATGTCTTCCACTTTCAATGGCCATGTCTCACAGTAATAACGGAGGACCGAGTGAACTGCTGAGCAGTACACACGTCGTTGAGTCGATGACCAGCCGGATATCATTCCTGCATCAGATTTGATGCAGGTTGTATCCCTCATGAGATTTCGTCTGTGATCAAGCCGTTGGCGTTGGCTGATTCAACTTCCTGAATAAGCGAAGTGGTCAACATGTTCTACCACTTCACTCTGTACCTTTTCGCTAGGAGTCGATATAGTCCAGTCCTGTAGCATTATCTTACCTTTGGCGGGAGCGAATCACATGCCAAACATTCGAATATTGCAGCTCAAGGTGTTCAAAAGACTCTGCATTTTGTCAGCGTCCTCGCCTAGAAGGACTATATCGTCGGCATATTCTAAGTCGACGAGATTATTCCCTAGTAGCAAGTCAATCCCTGAGTCTCTGAAGTGAGTTAGGGTTAATTCCACTAGTATATCTATGATGAAATTGAATAGAAATGGGGACAGTGGATACCCCTGATAGACACCACTGATTATCACCACTTCATATGACAACTTTCCGTAGGCTGTCACTTGGCTTGCATGAGTTCGAATAGAAAGGGTACCTCGGTCAGTGTGACGTATTTTCTCATCATTCCCTTCACAGCCAAACGTTGCTATAATACTTCTCTGTCTACGGAATCGAATGCCGCTTTCAGGTCAAGAAATATGGTGATTGTTGGATGCTGGTGGTGAGTATGCCTATGTTCCAGAATTTATCGCAGGGTGAAGTTACGATCAGTACACCCTCTTTCTGGTCTTAAGCCTGCCTGGTTCTCTCGTGTTTGTTCCTCCCGTGCACCGCTTAATCTACGCATTATTATTGAGTCTAGAACTTAAGATACTTTATTGGTCAAATTGATCCCCCTGTGATTATCACAGGAAGACTTGTCTCCCTTCTTGTATATCGGGATAATCAATGACTTACACCAGCCCGACGGAACTATCTCTGATTCCCAAACTCTGCACAGTACCTTAGTTAACGCAGACGGTAAACTGTCTCCACCGTCCTTAAATTCATCTGTGATTAAGTCCAATTTTTAAAAAAACCCAACAATATAATTGGTGGGTAGTGACTGACAGTGGAATCCAGGATGCGCATTTCGTCTCAGTTGGGACTCGTCAGTCAACAATACTTCACCATCAGTTCACAGCCACGAAAGAAACCCAGTAGGAGAATAGTATTATTCTTAATTCTTTGATGTTTTGTCTAGTATTTTCTCTAATGTGAATTTCTGGGATTCAGTTTCTTAAAACAAGCAACAAATGTTTCGAATCAAGCAGGATTTAATGAAGTCGACGTCAAATTTCAGTAGAACTCTTCCACAGCTGAATACTCGACATTTAAGTTTATGAAATTAAGATACAAATGCATCACGGTTCAATTACACTACTTAAGTAAACAAGATTCACAGTGACTGCGACTTCCTTTTGTACCCAGAGACCTGGTTTATAAACTGTAACTACACAAGCCTCCGCAATCTCAAGCGTCGTCTTCCTGTTTATTTGTCTGCTGACAATAACAGTGAATCACTTGACAGCGTAAATATCATGCCCGTGATGTCCACAGAGATGCTTAGTTATGGAACTTTGTGGTGCTTTGATTCCAGCTGTGTGTTTCAACCACTTTGGCAAATGCGCTTCATCATGCAAGCAGACAATCGCCTTTCTGTACGACTTATGTATATTTGCTTCCACAAACACACTCATCAAATTGATAAACACAGTTTGCAGAGTCGAGGATTGGCTACAATCTGGTCTTTCCCAGATTGTTGAAGCACTCGCTTGGTTGTTGGTGTTAAGGAAGACGAGTTTTTCAGCATAATAAGTTCTTGTGATAGCTTTGTCAAGTTTTCGTTGGACTACTTCTTGTATACATCATCTCCGTTGAACGGCAAATTGATGAACTTCTCAGGATATCGATTCTTAGATAAAATATCCTTCAGAGCCTGCATTTCATGTTCAGTTGTACAATCAGAACACTTTTTTGTGTTCTATTGAACAGTGTTCTTACTAAATTCTTGTTATATTTTATTGAAGCAAAACTTTTAAAATGTATGTACACTATCCCGTCGTCCATAAAAACTTTCTAAATGTAGATCTTTCCATTGTCTGTCTGTCTGTTTTAGACATAGAACTTTGCACATATGTGCGGCACTTCAAGTCGCCACACTCCATGTAGCACACAAAGCAAGAGAAGATAGTAAGGAGAAATGCATAATATAGACATTAAACAGAGGTGTGAGACAAAGGAATAGTAATAACGAAGAACAGAACAGTTTAACTGGAAATCATAAGTCACAAGGAGTGGATGCATCTGCGCCATCCACTGAGAACGATTTTGAGCCATATCACCAATTGTTTCCAACCATTGGTTTTTACCGTCCCGAGGACCCCAACCAGTCAGTCAGGAAGTCTACACCTTCCTACGTGGCTTAGATTAACTGTTGTGGATTTCATTGACTGGCGCCATGTTTTGGTTTGACACTATATCAGCTAACATTGCCCATTGTCGAGGAAGGTGATGACTAGGCATACGTAACACATGTCCTAACCATCTCAGTCCATGTAATTTCACAGTCTCGTCATCTGATTTCCCCTGCTTACCTGGCATTCGACGCCTAACCTCAATATTGCTCACCTTATTATATCACTTCACGCAGGAGATGGAACGCAGACACCTATGACCGAAGACAGCTAATCTTTTTATGTCTTCTGCTCTCAATAGCCAGGTCTCACAGCCATAAAGGATGGCGGAGCGGACTGTTGAGCAGTACACATGCCCTTTGGTCGATAGTCGGATATCACGTCTACGCCAGAGACGGCGTAAACTGGCATATGCGAACCTAGCCCTCTGTATTCGTGCTGAGATTTCATCGGAGATCAACCCGTCCGGGCTGATGGTACTTCTCAAGTAAGTGACGCGGTCAACGTGCTCTACCACTTCACTTCCTATTTATAATTTAGGGGTTGGTGTAGTCCAATCCTGCAACATCATCTTACAAGAATAAAACTTGGGCATTGTGGTAGAGTGTAATTCCATTATGGGTAAATTTTATTTTGATAGAGTCTCACAGTGTTATACAGTAATATTTACTGATGACGTTTCGAGCACAATTTATTGCTCATATTCATATCAAGGTAATCACACAACTTCCTAAATTCATTTATATAGTTCCATTGTTTTTCACTTGATTTGATTGGTAGTATTATTTTCCATACTTCGGGTATGGGTGATGAATCATTCCTATTGCACGTGTTGGGTGTAGATTCGATGAACAAGGATTCAGTAATCAACCTCTCTCTCACTCCACCTACCTAGATTACTTTTTAGAATTTTAACCCTCTCACACCCACTACATTGTCTGGTTGTGTGCTAATGTATGCATTGAAATTGCTGAGCTTTTTTCTAAATTACTTATCATCTCTGGGTCAACCATTCTTACCTTAGCTAAATTCTTATGTTCTGACAATCTGACTACCCCCGCTCGATCTACTAGTTTGACCTATGTAGTTGACTTCACAGTCATTGCAGGGTATTTTGTAAATTATATTATTTTGTCTAATTGGGTCCACTGGGTCCTTTAACCTACAGAGCTTGTCCCTGAGTGAGTTTGTAGGTTTAAATGTCACCCTAATTCCTGCCCTACGTAGGATTCTAAATAAAGCAGGAATTAGGGTGGCATTTAAACCTCAGGGACAAGCTTTGTAGGTTAAAGGACCCAGTGGACCCAATTAGACAAAATAATATAATTTACAAAATACCCTGCAATGACTGTGAGGTCAACTACATAGGCCAAACTAGTAGGTCAGGGGTAGTCAGATTGTCAGAACATAAGAATTTAGCTAAGGTAAGAATGGTTGACCCAGAGATGATAAGTAATTTAGAAAAAAGCTCAGCAATTTCAATGCATACATTAGCACACAACCACACAATAGGGTGGGAAAGGGTTAAAATTCTAAAAAGTAATCTAGGTAGGTGGAGTGAGAGAGAGGTTGATTACTGAATCCTTGTTCATCGAATCTACACCCAACACGTGCAATAGGAATGATTCATCACCCATACCCGAAGTATGGAAAATAATACTACCAATCAAATCAAGTGAAAAACAATGGAACTATATAAATGAATTTAGGAAGTTGTGTGATTACCTTGATATGAATATGAGCAATAAATTGTGCTCGAAACGTCATCAGTAAATATTACTGTATAACACTGTGAGACTCTATCAAAATAAAATTTACCCATAATGGAACATCATCTTACATTTTACAGGGGCGAATCGCATGCCAAAGGTACGAAGATTGCTGCTCAGGGTCTTCAGAAGACTCTGCATTTTGTCAGCGTCCTCGCCCTGTCCATTAGAGAAACATCTAGAGGTTTTAAGGTATCATTTTTTCCTAGTGTTCTATTGCGTCAAGTTAAGATCCTTGTATGTAGATTAATCCAACTGGCGAAGAGTTTTGCCGAAATTCGTTGGTGAATTCATTAAATTCTGCTTTGTAACTAAATTCGTATCGGGAAATAAACGTTTCCAATTCAATTTCTTGTTCAATTGTTTTTTTTCAGGTCTCTGGTAAAAAGGGTGAAGCACACGGTTAAATAATAATATCTACCGCCTACACAATATGCATATATATACATACATATGACGTAACCGGTTCAGTTCTTACCTTTTTGTGGAACTTTTGGAAGAAAGCTTGAGCCGTACTCATTTCTAGGTTTCTCTATGTAAACTGTTTCTTCTTTTGTTTTGAGGGCGAGCACTCGTGTGTGTTTGTGCGTATGTGCATTTGTGTGTGTTTGTGTTTATGGGTTTATATATATGTGCATATCTCTTTGCTTGTACTTCAGAAAGCTGATTGATTGGATTTCTCTTCATTGTGATCACTGTTATTATTATTATTACTATTATTATTATTATTGCTATTCTCTTGTCCAAAGCCCTCTGATCCTTTCCGTGAAAAAAAGGAGAAATATATATATTCATCACATGGTTTCATCTGTTTGACCTTAAAATGTATTTTATGTATAGCTGTTGATCGTGGCTTTAGGAGACTATCGATGGTGGCTTTTTGGCTTCCATCGTTATCAGTGCACACAGAGTGAAGAGGAAGTGAAGAGCCATTAAGTAGAGGAGTTGCATTAGTAGAAGGAAGGTAAGATCATAGAGATGAAGATGAAGACAAAGGTGAGTGAGGATTAGAGAGGTTTCGCGTGCTCTTCGGGTAGTGAGGGCGATTGTTACTTCCCGGCTGCCCACACCGTGGAAGTTGGTTGCGTGACCGCAGAGCCCAGGGGACAACTGCTTGAGGCCGGTCACACACGGCCTGTTTTTGTTTGTTCTTTTTTATTTGGTGTGTCTCAGTAGCGTATTTATCACTTCTGCCCTGTGACACGGCAGCAGGAAGCGCGGTCGTTGTTAATCCGGGATCCGACCGATCCGGCATGATATTTTGTGATTTGTTTGAAGTCATAGGATTGGGTTGGGTAACTGCTTTTAGTCTAACCGCTATCCAAACAACCTTTCTGGTATGGTAAGACCTGCAGGAACATAAGTTCCAATACTCATTCTGTTTCACTCTTATACTTATCTAAATTCTATTGGTTCTCTTCTCTCATTTTCCTGTCTACCTTTGTGTGCTCTTTGGAACGCGGCAACTCGAACTGCTGCACTTCGGTGCCAAGTTCTATGTTGAATCCAGCAACCAGCAGCAGCATAGCTGTTGATCGTGGGGTGGAGGGGAGACGAGAGAAATGATATTAACATGGAGAAACAGAAGGGTTTAGTGAATATAGACGAGGTCACCAGAGAGTGAGTGAATGCACTTAGGCCATTCAAGAACGGTTTTGAGTCATATCAATAATAATAAGAATAATAATTTGCTTTATTCCAGAAACAGTACTAGCGATACAGTGTGGAATTTCCAGCACATATCTACAATATTTGCATCTAATTTTATCAAACATTTAAAAGGAGTATTTCAAAAAAATAAATATAAAGACACCAACAGCAAAAGAAAAAAACAGGAAAAACACAAAATAATTTTTAAAAAATGCGAAAAAATACCCAGAAGTAGAAAGGAAAATAAATAACATATAATAATAACTCAGTATTGGGTAGTGGAAGCTATGATATGATTATGCATGGGGACAGTAAAGCTCTAGTCATACAACAAGTTATGAAATGATATTTAAGAATGTTTATTGCCGAGATGATCAGTTAATTTGGTTGAAACAACTCCGAATACTCATAAAATAACATTTCAGGGTTGTTGTTTTGTTTTTTATTGTCAGGTCTAATGCAGTGTTTGTAGTGGTAGTGTGAGTAATCCTGAATAATACAAAATTTTAAGGTGGTGATAATGGCTTTCACAACCAGTGATTGTCAGTTAACATTGCCGAAAAAAATAAAAAATAAGAAAAAAACAACCACAAAACTAATAATTACATGATGTTTAATGACAGGACAGTTTTGTACTACTCATAGTGCTAATATGGTCGGAACCAGTAGATACACAATGGAAGGAATACAGTAAAGCACAAGAAAGTAAGCCAATGTTAATAATTTAGGTAGCTAAGTATGTTTTAGAAGGAGTTCACTATAGAATACAAAATAAGAGAGAAATAAAAGAGCCTAAAATTATGTTATTAACAACAAAGCAAGTCATAGGTTTCGCGCTTAACATTGTCTCTGTCACTTAGAACACGGGCCAAGTATGGTATCGTTGAGTTCCTGTACTTGGTTGTACGAGCATGGATTCTTTTATACTGATTTCTGGTTCTACCTGATGAGATACAAGGCCAGAGTTGGGGGTCGGTGAGTATGGTTTTAGACCATTTTTCGCATGTATTCAGAGGCCTATCAACTAGTGACGAGCTGACTAATAGTCTCCAGTCATTGATTCTTAAAATCTCCCCCCCTCTCAATGAACTCAACTAAGCAATTTACATCTTTCTACGTGGCTGGCTCACACTAACTGGGAAATATGCATTCAGGGATTGATGATAGGTTTCGGTATGATCACTCATAACTGCATTCCAACCAAATCCACTGTCAGCTGACACATGCTCGTTGAGGAAGTCCAGTTGCTGGGAAAGTACAACACGTGCCCTAGCCATCTCAATCGATGTAGCTTTACAACGTCATCAGTCTACACCTAGCTTGAATTTTCCTCACCGCTTAACAAAGGTAATAAAAAGCAGACACCTATGATTAAAGGCAACTAGCCTCTTTTCATGTCTCACAGCCAGCCATAAAGGAGGACAGAGCGAAATGCTGCTGCACAATACTCAAGTCCTTTGATCGCAAACCAGTCGGATATCACGTCTATGTGAGAGATAAGGTAAGTTGTGAAATACCAGTCAAGCCGTCTGTATGCGTGCTAAGATTTCGACAGCAGTTAGTCCATGGCGGCCGATGGGACTTCCCAAATAAGTGAAGTCGTCAAAACACTTATCCACTTCACTTTCTATCTTTAAGTTAGAAGTCAGCGCTGCCCTGTCATGTAGGATCATCTTGGATTTAACAAGAACAAATTTTATGCCAAACATTCAAAGATTTATGCTCCTCAACGTGTTCAGAAGAGTCGGAATTTGACCAGCGTCTTCACCTAGGAAGACACTTTCGTCCGCGCATACTTTAAGTTTTCAAAACTTTCCTCTGGTAAGCAGTTAATCTCTATTTCGCTGAAATCAGTTTGGATCAATGACTAAGGTTCATCTATGAGGAAATTAAACAAAAATTGGGGACAGTAGGCATCCCTGACTGACACACCACTGGTTGTCAGCACTACAGACGACAAGCTCTTAAATGACTGTGTGAATTCGATTAGAATACCCCGGTTAGTGTGACATATTTTCTCAGTACTTCCTTCACAACCAAACATTACCATAGTACCAGAATCTTTTGAAGGGTGAAGATAGGAACAATGCACCCTTTTGCTAGTCTAGAGCCTGTGAGGTTTATTTCTTCCAAGCACCACCTAGTCTGCACATGATTATTGCATATCAGAACTTTAAATGCTATTTCTACTGAGAAACAGTCGTCGGCTAACTGCTGTTTAGGCAAAGTACTCCATCTGTGTACTACTCTAATAACTGGTCTAACTCTGTCTGTCTGTTTGTTTTCGACATAGAACTTTGCACATATGTGCGGCACTTCAAGTCGCCACACTCCATGTAGCACACAAAGCAAGAGAGGAAAGTAAGGAGAAATGCATAATAAAGACAGTAAACAGAGGTGTGAGACAAAGGAATAGTAATAACGAAGAACAATAGGGTTTCATTGGGAATCATAAGTCACAAGGAGTGGATGCATCTGCGCCAGCCATTGAGAACGATTTTGAGCCATGTCACCAATTGTTTCCAGCCTTCATTGGTTTTTACTGTCCCGATGACCCCAACCAAGAAGCCAATCTACACCTTCCTACGTGGCAGGCTTAGACTAACTGTTGTGGATTTCATTGACTGATGAAGCCATGTTTTCGTTTGACCACCTCTGGCTCTTTTCCAGCCTGACCCTATGTCAGCTAACATTGCCCATTGTCGAGGAAGGCGATGATTAGGCATACGTAGCACATGTCCTAACCATCTCAGTCCATGTGATTTCACAGCCTCGTCGATTGATTTCCCCTCCCACTTACCTAGCATTCGACGCCTAACCTCAATATTGCTCACCTTATTATTACCATTTCACACGGGAGAACGCTAGATGGTCACATTTGAAATTCAGTTACATTAGGGAAGTAAATGAAATACTGCTACACTGGCTGGTTGATTCATCTTAGAGTTCTTTAATGAATAGAATATTCTCTTATTGAGTCATAAGAAAAAGAAGTAAACAGTGAAGAAAGTTTTCTTCTCAACGATTCATTTTCACATAAGCTGTACAATCGTAATTATTATATTTAACAAAGAATTCGTAAGACCAATCAGATACTGGTAAGATTTGTCCTCGAAAACGTATTACGGAATGCAAGGTGTAATTTAGGAGGGGATGACTTACTGGAAGTAAGAAAATGGGCTGAAGTTGGGATGATTTAATAAGTGTGAAAAAAATCACCAGTTAGTATATAATTGTGTAGAGTGGACAGAAACCAGTGGAAAGACGATGTAAGGTGTTTTTATAACATCTGTATGGAAATGCAACGTTATTAGTTAGCACTACTATCGTGGTAATAAAATAAGGATGATGAGAACAATAATAATAAACTTACGTAGTAGACTGAAGCAAAATTTAGAAAACACTCCTTCTTAGTGTGCCCTCTTCTTTCCTTGCCATGAAGACGTCTAGGAATGAGGTACTGTCATTACTTTCTTTCTCTATGGTAAAGTTTATTGCTGAATGTGCATCATTAAACTTGTCAGGTATGTTCATTGCATCATTCTCGTCTTTCATAACCACAAATGTATCATCCATATAAAAGAAAAGAAGGCGTTCAGCGAAGAGACTCTTTTCGGCGAATTCATTCACTTAGCTGTACAATCGCATATTTATACAATTTTGTTTGTGTGTGTGTACATTAGGTTTATAAAGTTTAGATAATTATGTAATATAAGTAATTTTTGGCTTGGAAACAAACGTTAAGATGGAAAATAAA